GCAATAGCCATCTTTGAAAAAAATTGACTTTAAAGCAAATCGATATGGGAATATATGCCATTCTACACAGGTGTTTACATTAATATTACCAAACAAAATTCAGCTGACAATAGTTACCTGTATGCTGCCTAATCACCATATAGGAAGAATTACTCCAGTGTACCCATCCTACTTGAAATCTTGACTGTGCCTGAAGGTATTTAAAGCAAAGTTTTAAAGTAATTTACTTTGATTTATGCCTTCTATGTACTGTTATTGCATTTCAATCAACCTGGGCAATGAAAACAGACTAGTCAAGTTTTACCTTCCACCCAGTAACTCTTCTACGCTAGAAGATCTATAACTCCCATCCAGTGGGATTTCAGCCTGATTCTTAAGAAGCAGAAGAGTTTATAGCTCAGGGGGCAGAATCAAACCTTTCAGTAAGCATCAATTGTTTTGGTTTTTTTTTCTTGTTCAGCTGACTGGTTTCTGAGATTTCTACAGCGCTGTGTTATTTAACCCCAGTAAACTTTCTGCAACCCCCTTCTGATACTATAGCAATTCACAGCATCAGATATTTTTCCCCAATGAAATTTTAAATAAAATGGAAATATTAAGGTATGGTAAAAGCCTGAATTAGTCTTCCTTTAACCACTCTGACACCAGCAATTGGAATTTCATTGCACATCACATGGCTGATGGAGGCACAATATCTCAATTTTTTTTATTTCATTAGAGTACATTTGCTGTGTTCTTAAAACAGAATTAACAGCCCAAGAGATGAATTCTGCTATGAAATTGTTATTTGCTGCCACATGAAATTAGCTGCAAAAGTACAATCAGTTTAAAATATAGCATAGCAATCAATCTCACTTATTTTGGGGAAATGTAGTTTTATAGGAGAATTATAGTCTGTCTTGCGAATGATAAAGCAGTATAACTAGCATTAAATAAAGCTGAAATTTCGTAATGACCAAACCTGGATTCATCCAAGTCCTCAGTACATGAACTCCCTTGAAAAGGGAATCAGACTAGTTGGGTTGTAAATCTGGTTAGCATCATTACAGAGCTGAGGAACACATTTTTGTCCTTATGAAATTGTGTTGGGTGCCCTGCAAAAGAACATGGCAAGTAATTATAGATCAGCCCATCAAGCAATGTTAAGCTATGCACAGCAGTTAAAACTAAAGATGCAGTAAAATGAATTCTAATGCAACATGAGAATTACATAATTCTTCCCACATTTTGAAAATTATCAGTCACAGATCTGTTGCTAATGAACCAAGAGACTCCTTCAAACATTGGTTCCGTTGGTTGCCACTGTCAATCATGAACATCATCATGGAATTTTATCCTTTGCCATGTGTTCTGAACTGGATAGAATCAGAATTTTTCTGATGAAGGGCACCCAGACTGACTGCCTGTAAGCATAAGCTTATTGGGTAGTCGAGTGGAATATCAACTTTTCCCCCCACTGCAAGGGTGGGGAAACTGGGGCCGGTGCTGGGGGGAGCCAACTTAAAAGCCGATTCCCCCCAGCACCATCTCTGTGGTGCAGCTCCCCCTTCCCCTTCTCCCCCTCCGCCTCCACTATCAGAGGCAGCAGGGGGGGATAGGGGAGCTGCTCCAACAGCAGCCCATGTTCGCGGCAGACAGAGCTGGTCTGGACACTGCACCTCTGCATTGTAAATGCGGTAAGAGCCCGGCAGTTCTTACTACACTTAAATGCAGAGCCGCAGAGCGGGTGGGTCCCAAAACTGGCACAAGGCAGGACTGCTCAGTCCTGGCTCGAGCCACCTCCTGGCACTATCGCTGCTATGGCTCTGCAGAGCGGTCCTATCGACTTATTGTATTGACTACACGATTAGTCAGATAATTGCAATTTAGTATCTTTATGAAAGACCAGAACTGGCCAGACCTCATCCACCAGGCAGTGTTTCTGGCCAAAGCGAAAGGATCTTCTCCTGTCCTCCACCCTACTGCTGCCCTGATTTTTGAGTACTCTTGCACTACACTCAGCTGTAATTTTGTTCTCTTTACAAAATCTTGCCTTTTGTATATCCACAGTCCAAAACAATATACTGCAGATTGCCTTATCTGAGGTGCAGAAGACTGCTGTTGTCCACTGGTTTTGCAACAGCAGGTTATTGGTCTATTTGTTTTTAACCATAAGATGCTCTATTGCATAGAATCCACCGGTACTCTAAAGCATAATGCTTTACTTGTTAGTCTCTTTTTTCTGACTTCACTTGGAGCCACTTCAGTCCTGATATTCTATAATAAGATTTATTTCAGCATGTTAAGTACGCCAGCCAGTGAGTTGGAAACTTCATACAATAGTAGGTTAACAAGTTGCTGGAACCAATGTCTAAAAGTCACTGGAGTTGCAGGGTCTTCTGCAAGCTAATAATATGTATCCTAGTCATAACATCTGCGGTGATGGTGAAATCCTGAGTTAGGCATAATATGGTTTCACTGCAATCAATATTTATGTTCATCATAAACCCACCGCATAATTTTGCACAGAGGGTAATCTCTGTTCAAGAGTGTCATTACAGCCGAGGCAGGGATGCTGTAGGTCAGGATTACTCTGCATTATCTGAGCTGTCTGGGGAAGCTGTATATGCTCTTAAATCAACACTTACTTTCACAAATGCTAAGGCCCAATACTATAGTGTTCTCATTGGCACTATTTTGGGGGGTGTCTATGTATTTGCAGGATCAGGCCCTTCCTTCTTAATTTATTATAAACCCGTGGTCCCCAACATGGTGCCCGCGGGCGCCATGGCGCCTGCAGGGGCATTTGTGTGCGCCCGCCACGTGCTCGGGGCTGGCCTGGCCCTGGGCACGCGGCGCATGCACAGTGCCGGAGCCGGCTCCAGGCGCATGGTGAGCGCCGGCCCCGGGGGGGTGCCGGCCCCGGGCACTTGGGGGGGGGGGAGAGTGCCGGCCCC